TTCTCTGGGCATGAACACGTGTAAAAACACCCCTCAATGTCGGAGATCCATCTCATAGCAGCAATCGGATCCTGTGTCCCATCAAACTCTGGTGGCTTCATGTTGCTGAACTCTCGAAACAACAACGACTCACCCCCTGTGGTCTTGAAGCAGCTAGGGCTGCGGTGGCTGCGGCAGCAGCAGCCTCAGTAACAGCAGCATAGCGCTCATCGAAGGTCTCGATCAATATGGTCTTAATAGACCCGAACATCTCTGGGATGGCCTCTCTGATGGCTGCACCCACCTCAGCATGGATGATCCTGCGGATCTCCTCGTCACTGGTACCACTGCTGCTCCCTGGGTTGTGGCTTGTACCCACCATAATGTCTCTGAAACACAACACGAAAATAATTATACATTCATTCGAGCATACTCACACTCAATTTCCCACCCCTACATGCTCCTTAGTATCCAGAAGATTCTTACTTGGGTTGCATACAGATCCGGTGCTTTCAGTAGTACGGTCCCAATACTACCTTCCACACCAACCTGTAGTCATCCCAAGTCCTCCTCCCAGGATCCTAATTCACGGTACTCTATCCCTCATGGATATCAAACTACTCTCTGGGTAGATTCCTCTATACTCATCTAGGTATCTCTCCTAGATCACTCAACACTCTCTAAAAGATTCTTGCTATGTCTCTTCTACTCAGTTCACAAAGAGAAAATAACATATAAGATCACTCAATAGCATACCCTAGGCTAAGGCATCATGAATCAGGCAACTATAGCTCTAATTTTTGATGTACCTAGCCTATCCTCTAGCATGCAACTCTAATATCTCGTAAATATCTCATAATACAAACAAGTAATGGTATTTTGGGAATCACCGTTCAGGCTCTAGCTGATGGTACACACTACTCCTCCTCCTTTTTCTCTTAAAAACTCTTTACTCGTTTTTAGAAAAATCATTTCTCTTTGAAATTTTTTCTAAAATCCTCAGTTTGAGTTCAGACATACCCGAAAGTACATCCGAATCCCTCAAACCAAGGCTTTGATACCAACTTGTAACACCGTAAATTTTCAAACATTTTTTTTCATTTTCAAAACCACATAAATCTCAATATCACATTCCAAAACCACAATTGTCAAATTGTGAAAAACACAAGTTTATAAATTTTTTGATAAATCCAGGATCCACAAAACATAAACACCATCTCGTGTGTGTACAATGAAGCCGGTGCCTTCCCGCGATCCTGAGAAGTACCAGAAACACATATCACATAACACGGTAAGCACAAAGCTTAGTTAGTTCCCCAAAATACCACACACATCTCATTAGCCTCTCTTCGCTATACTCGAATAAGACCCTCCAGTCAATGTGTCTCAGTGGGACCCTCCGGTCCCACAACTCGGTGGACCCTCCGGTCCTATCTCAGTAAAGCTCAGAATAATACACAACATAAATCACAAAGACATGATGCAGGATATCACAATACTCAATAATAGCATACAAGACCCTCCGGTCACACAATTTACCACTCAAGGTAAGTATAGTGAGAAGACTCACCTCGTAAGCAAACAAATAAACCTCCTACTCGAATCACCGGTCTAGCATCCGCCTAACACATACCATAATTATCTCTAATTAATAATCGATCCTCAAAGAAGCTAGGCTAAACCCTTTACAAACTCACAGAAGGATAAAAGAAAATTTGACCCCTCCATGGCCTCTATAGTGCAAAAATTGACCAAACCCAAAAAGTCAACAAAATTCAACTGCAGCGCGTACGCTAGGCGTACAGCCCCTTATGCTTGGCGTACTACCTCGCCATGCATGCAACGGGATCCTCGACCCTACGTTGCGCAAACTGGGATTACGCTCAACGTACATCCCATATTTGTTCTTACCACTCTCTTGGTCTTAATCCGTTAAGACCATAGCTCTACTCTCAGATCTGGACTTTCTAAAGGCTCATACTCCATAAAGTTCGTGACTTTAAGCCTTTGCATGGCTGAGAAAGTCCCAAACACAAAAACACTCACTCTTTACATCCAAAAATGTTCATATCTCATGCATGAGGTGGTTCGAACGTCCAAGATCTCATTTTTATGAATCCACACCCTTAAGAACACTCAAAGGGACAGATATTAGGTTCTGGAGTTCAACAACTCATAAAGCTTCAAGCTTTTGGACCAAAAACCCTAAAATGGACCATATTATGCACAAATCAAAAAGGATGAGAAAGCTCTAAACTTTATACCTTCAATTGATTCTCCAACTACAAAACAGCTCAGATCCAAAGCCTAGACTCCAACTCTACTCTCTTCAATGCTCCTTCTTCACTCCAAAAATCCCACAAGAACACTTAGAAGCTCACAAATGGACACTCAAGCGCAAGGGACGAAAATTAGGGTTTTGAGAGGGTTGAGATCTGGAAATGGTGGCCAGAAATGAGACCATCATGTTCCTTAAATAGGGACACACCCCCCAATTAGGGTTTTCACCCTGAGTCTAGTATGCCCAGCGTACCCTCTGGTACGCCCAGCGTACTAGGTGGCTCCGCATCCAAATCACGCACATGAGTACGCTAAGCGTACACACGCGTACGCCCGACATACTCATTTACCACCCTTTCTTCATTAAACGGCCAAACTTGACAATTACAATAAGATAAGAGTTTATAAGTTATACCTGGTCTTCGGATGTTACAAAACCCCTTCTAGATCCCAGATCTGAAAGGTAAGTCACTTGGGATGTCCATTTCCCTATGATTAAGCTTCTTGGACCAAAACCCTCATAAAATAGAAATAAGGAGATTATTCACTATTATGCTATTTTAATTCTTAGCTATTCATATTCGCTATTCATAATGAATATTAATATATTAAAGAATAGAAAGCCAAGTTAGAGACTTGATTACCCGAAAATGATGAGGATGGAAGGAAGTCTCTGGATCTACTATCTTCTCCTTGAACCTTCTAGCTCCTTCTTCTTCTTCTTCAAGCTTCAAGAACACACAAGGATCACTCAAAATAGCTCACAAGCTCACACAAAGCTCTAGGGTTTTGTGGATTACGGTTTGGGACTTGGAGGCTGGAAATGAGGCCATAAGGTGGGGATTAAGATACTTAAATAGGGTGCAAAACCCCGAAATTAGGGTTTCACTCTGGCAGACCTACTCGCCGAGTTGAGGGCTCTCAACTCGTCGAGTAGATTGCTTAAAACCTCGTGTCCAATCTCGTTCCTACTCGACGAGTCTGGGGCTCCCAACTCGTCGAGTAGCGCTACTAAAATGAATAAATTATAAATAAATGTGTACCAGGAATCAGGCGTTACAATTCTCCCCCACTCGATTTAGACTTCGTCCTCGAAGTCAGCTGCATCTGGAAACAACTCCGGATAGTGCTCCCTCATCTCCTCCTCGGGCTCCCAAGTCCACTCTGAACCTCTGCGGTGCTGCCACTGTACCTTCACCAGCTCAACCCTCTTGTTCCTCAGCTCCTTCGTCTTCTTATCGAGAATAGCTATCGGTCTTTCGATGTAATTCAGGCTGTCGTCAACCTGAATGTCTTCTAGAGGCACAACCGCTGAGTCATCCACTAGGCACTTTCGTAGCTGGGAAACGTGGATAGTGTTGTGGATCTGGCTGAGCTCTGTTGGAAGATCCAATCGGTACGCCACCTTGCCCACCCGGGCTATAACCCTGAAAGGGCCGATATACCTGGGGCCCAACTTCCCCGTTTCTGGAACCAGATGACACCTTTGCAAGGTGACACCTTCAGGAGGACCATGTCGCCCACCTGAAACTCCAGGTCCGAAGGTCGCTTGTCGGCATAGCTCTTCTGTAGACTCTGAGCAGTCTGGAGCATGCTCCGGACCTACTGGATCCGCTCTGTAATCTTGAGTACTACCTCAGTACTCCCCATGACTCTCTGACCGACCTCGCCCCAACAGATTGGGGTCCTACACTTCCTCCCGTAGAGCGTCTCGAAGGGAGGTCGGTCTATGTTGGCGTGGTAGCTATTGTTATACGAAAATTCCGCTAACAGAAGATACGTAACCTAACTACCACCAAAATCCAAAACACATGCGCGTAGCATGTTCTCGAGAGTCTGAATCGTCCTCTCGCTCTGTCATTTGTCTCAAACTTTTATGAGTTTTCTTATGTGAGTTTTTCAACAGTGTTATTATTTTTTAAGTATGTTTTATTCGAACATATAAATCTACTAAAATTATTAATCTATCTCTCTCTCTCTCTCTCTCTCTAT